TGCGTGGTTGGGGTCACAGAAAACATCCGGCTGCTAAAGATGTGATCTGTATTTTGAACACAATGTGGGGATCATTTAATGTCAGAATGTGACATACAGTGAGATTGGTTTTCAAACTACAGATGTTAATACTCACACAGATCAACCAGCAGCTATTCAAACGTTTCCCACAAGCTACCACTGTTGAACTGCTAGCATCGATTGCTAAATGTACCAATGTTTTACTGAAGAAATGGAAATACATTTTCAGAAAATGTCTCCCTCACCTCATAAACTAGGACAATTCAACTACATTACAGCCCCCCCTGCAGGTCAGGAAGATAAAGCTGCACGCCATATTTATCAATACCAACCCAGGAGTCCTGAATATGATACCTTTACAACTTTAATGCCCAAAATATTCACTTATCCACGTCTGAAGACAGGATCCAACTTATAATACTTCAGTAAAAAATATTTGACCGGTAAATATTCCTGAACCTTATTTTGATATCTACTAGAGAAATAGAATTCAATGCTTTAATGCAATCACTCAGCGATTGTTGTCATCTCTGTGATAGGACTACAGTCGGATGCTGCTACAAAGACTTGGATTCATAAATAGCAGCCACGAATCTTCTGGTTCTACAGGTGTGGGGACCAGACCAGACCAATGTCCTAAATGCTGGTGGTGTACATTCAGACGGTGTTTAAAGACCAAGGTGATGAAATGAGTGAGGCAATACATAATGCGAAGTATCATATAATACCTAGGTGTCTAACTAAAAGAGTTTAGCCAGTTTTATAGAAGTCACAGTCGATAACAGAATGTAAAACAAAACTCATCAGCAAACGAGATGAACAAAGAAAGTATAACAGCAAAAACAACCACAAATCAACCCACTGGCCCAACTGTCAACAATTTAAATTTTTTATGTTATTTTTAAGATCAAATAATGACTGATTCCGAAGACCACCAGAAAACATTACTTACTTTTTAACAATAATATGCAAATAATATAGATTTAATATCTGGATTTCAAGAAAGAAAAAAGTTTTTATACTGTTATATTGATGGTTTATTAGTACACGGCCCATTCATCTGGACACAGTAAATGTGGGGTTTGAACCTTTTTCCCTCCCGGCACAGTAGACAGCTTGCATTTTTGAACCAGCCATGTTGGTCAGAGAGTGTTTTTGAAATCACATTATTGACATGTTATCCAAACAGGATCAACTGTGAGTTGGTCAGTTAGTTCAGTCAGAAAACATGGCGTTCGTCATCTCTGATGTTAAGGAGAGTCAGGATAAAGGAAAGCACGATAGTTTTTAACAATGCACAACACTAAAGTTGGATCATGACGTTACTCCGGTACAGATGGCGCTATTGTTACACATTGTGTCTGAGAGCTTTTAATTCCTCGCCTTTTGACATCATTAGGTTTGTCGTGGTGCTATTGGTCATACGAGCTTAAAAGCCAACATTGATGAAGAGTTTATTTTACATCGACACAAATAAAGATGTCCAACGGTCAGCCGGTGTCGACCTCTAACCTCTGCCCACTACGCAGAACGCAGCGGCTCTGCACTTTTGTCTTTAGGCAAGAAATTGAAATGCAGAAAACAAAGAAGAAAAGAGACGGAGGATGTTCTGTGTGAGTGTCCAAAGAAAGTACAGCCAATGAAAGAACGTGAGAAAAATAGAAACTGACTGAATTTTAAAAAACTAAAGGTTTTCCTGCTCAATAAAAAGCAAATAACAGAAGAGAAGGGTTAAAATAATTAAATAAAAGCACTTATGTAAAACAATGAGGCCGAGAAATCCAAAAGCAAAAAACAAAGCAAGGCAGAAGGTGGACCGCGCCATCCAAAAGGCATGCATGATGAACCAAACACATCCATACTGTCCGGTGTGCCGTCCGTCACTCCGCTCACAGCGTGTAGAGCAGCAGCTGCAGACACGGTGAGGGTCAGGACCGCCAATGCTGTATGGTCAGGCCAAATGCAGACTGGACCAAGCCTCAACTAGACAAGACTTCAGGATCGGAGAGACCTGTGTCTTGTTGTGCCCTGGCCAGGTAATGGGAGAGCTGGAAGGTCTGGGAGCAAGGACTGAGTCGCAAACGAGGACATCAGAGGAAAAAAAAAAAAAAGGCTGAGCGTGTCACATGTTCAGTGCCTCACGGGCCCGTTGCTGTGGGTTACGTTGTTAGAGATTTGATGGAAGGCGGAGCGCATCAGATTAAAGGACTGGTCGGCAAGGGCGGAGATATCGTCTGACGTCATCCCCTTTGTTTCAATCTTTGGAAGAATCTTCAACCTGATGGTTCCTGAGGAGGCCAGAGAACAAACACGGAATTTCACCCCAAAATAATGAGCAGACCTGATGAAGACAAACCATAATTCCCTGCTACTCTGCTGTAAACATTACGTTTACGTTCTCAAACTGGGAGACAATTTTCTCGCAAATCTACTGTGAGCACAAGTGTGGAGTAAGAACTGCTGTTGGCATAACACCAGTGGTTGTCAAACTTTTCCCACTGTTTTTTGTACAGTATAGAGCGCTGAGGTCAACCCCCCTCCTGCCCCCTGACTCCATCATCATCATCATCACACTCACAGCTACTGCTTCAAGATGGAACCAATCTTTGTAACAGACAGTGCAGTTCCTAAAACTGTTAATCTCAATAAACAAAGGAAATAAAAGTCACATCAGTGAACTTTGAGGTGTAAAGAAAACATAAAATGACATAAATCTGCTTTGCTACGCAATCGTTCCATGGCACAGAGAGGGGCCACGCAGCCCACTTTGGTACCACCTGTTGATGTAGAAACTTCCCAAAATGTTTTTATCAAACTTTTAATTCTTGTTTACTTTCAAAAACATTTTTTGTCTGCATGGATATGACATAGATTTCTATTATTGGACTGACACAGATTTCAGAATTAGTAGATTCTATATTATGAAGCTTTTCTGCCTGATATATATTTTATATAAAAAATTGAATTGATATGTTGCATTCAATTAATAGTATTTAATAATTAGTTAATTTTTTTTAAGTAAAATGTAATGTAATACCATTACTGTCCTCACAGAAAAACAGTTAGAGAGTTATATGACGGACATAATAAAGACACGTTACCTGATTTGAACTGCTTCTCTTTTCTCAGGTAGAAGTTGCTGTAGGAGGAGAAAACGATGGGTATGATGGGCACCTGGAACAAAACAGGGAGAA